AGGAAGGAAGGAAGGAAGGAAGGAAGGAAGGAAGGAAGGAAGGAAGGAAGGAAGGAAGGAAGGAAGGAAGGAAGGAAAAGGCTGCGCACAGCTTGCATGCAAAATGCAGAGGGGTTTCTGGAGGAGGAGGAGGACAGAGCTTCCCCACCCCATCATCATCCTCAGCCATCAGTCCTTCTTCTGTCCATGACCTCACTCCCAGCCTTTCTGTGTGGCAAACATGAGCTGCAGCTTGTCTGAAGGAGGAACCAACCTCAGCTCTGCCTGCTCCTGGGAGCTCTGGCACACAGATGCCTTGCAGCAGTGTGAGGAGATGAATTCACAGCTAAAGCAAGATGCAGAGAGTGCTGCTGGGTTGTCAAGGACCCTTGCAGCACTTGCCTACAATCACACACCTGGGGACAGTAAAGCAAACAGCCTGTGCTATGTGCTGGCACATTTTGCCTGCTCTCTCCCTGCTGGACAGTAGTCATTGCAAGGATAAACAGACAAGCTCCCTCTGTATGAGCAGCTCTAGCAAAATTGCCCTTTTCCTTCCTCTTCTCCCCTACAATAGTGACACGGCCTTCAGGGGCCGTGAGATTTGCAGGATGTTTACATTCAGCACTGCACCACGTATCACCAGACAAAACTGCAGCTGGAGGAGAGTCAATAAAGCTGTCACTGCTCTTCTTGTTTAAAAGGAGCTTGGGGGATAATAGACCAGGATTTTGGAACACGATATTTTATCCTTCAGATCTCATTACTCAACAGCAACCAGCACTGCTGGATGCACATAGTGATAGGATGAGGGGGGGTGGTTTTAGACTAAGAGAGATTTACGTGAGATGCCAGAACGGAATTCTTTACTCAGAAGGCAGTGAGGCCCTGGCACAGCTGCCCAGAGAGCTGTGGGTGCCCCATCCCTGGAAGGGCTCAAGGCCAGGTTGGATGGATCGCTGGGCCTGAGCTGGTGGGGGGCAGCCCAGCCTAGGGCAGGAGGCTGAAGCTGAGTGGGCTTTAAAGGTCCCTTCCAACCCGAGCCATTCTGTACGATTCCACCGCCTGGCAGCGTGCGGTTCCCTGCGCCGAGCCCCGAGCTCCCTCCAGCGGCCGAACGCTGCGGCACCGGGCCGGGCTGCACGAGGAGGTGGGGGTAGAGAGGTGGCGGGACGCTGGGCGGACATGGTACGCACCGTTGCCGTGAGGCACCGCGACTCTCGCACCGTGGCGACCGCGCTCAGCAGGGCTGCGAGGATCAGGGTCATGCTGAGGAAGACGCCGACGTAGAAAGCTGGAAGGAAGACAGAAAGAAGTGAGTTTGGGGGAGATGGTATCAAAAGAGTTGAGGAACTGGAATGGTTTGCGAGTGATCCATCGTCTCCCACCTGCTCTGCAGTTGGGGGCTGCAGCACAGCCAGGCTCCCCGAGCTGGCCCATATCTCACTGCCTCATCACCAGGCAGCATGCTGCCTGCTGCAGATGCCCTACTGGGGCTCTCTGCACAGCTATCTCCTGCAGCACTCACCACTGGCTTCCTCCCAGCAGCACAGGGCATGGCTGGGCTGAGCTATGCAGCCCAGGCTACAAGCTGGGCTAGGAACAATGAGGAGATGCTACATGCGTCTGAATCCAACAGAAAACACTTGGTCACGGGTGATGGTGACGGGTTGCAGTGAGCAGTGGGTTTGACAGTTTTAGTCTCAGAGCATCTTCCCTGCCCAGCCATTGTGTTCTCCAAAGGTGTGCCATACCTGCGTGGTGGATGTCCCGGTAGGAGCTGCTCTCGGGGGCGATGTTGCTGATGATGGAGAAGTGAAGCCCATAGCGGGTGACTGTGCTCAGTGTAGCAATGGACAGCCCCAGCAGCTGGAAGGGAAGGTTGGCATCAAGGGAGTTACAAGGCGTCAAGATCCCACTGAGTGGCACACAGCCTCAGTGTCCAACAGCATGCGTGTGCCCCCAGATGCAATTAAAAGGACAAATTCTGGACACACACTAAACTGATCGTTTCTGAGACTAAGTACTTCTGAACTGCAGCAACATCTGCTTACAAATAATCAAATTTACGGCACCTTCAGATCCTTCATGCTGTGCTTTACTGCCTATCTCAACCCACACCCAGCAAAATGTGATGTGAAACCCCAGTTAGCTCAGATTGTTGAGGAACAGCAGTCTCAATGAGCCCCCAAGGCAGCAACACTGCACTCCTGGCTGTGTTGCAGCTGCTCCTCTCAGCATGTTGGGTAGCAGTCCTCCTGTGCCTCCCCAGGTTACTTGCAGGCATTAGCTTTTAATTATACTCTTCCTAAGCCACCAATTCTTTTTGAACTAAACACGGAAGATTATTATTATTATTCTTTTAAGATTGGAGGTTTCCATGAGCTGCATGGGCAACAAGTCTGCCCAGCTCAGAAGTGCCCAGGAAAAGCATTCCCAATGTCTTTATTTTCCCATCAGCAGTGTGGTTTCTCCTGAACTCCCTCTGAGACATCAGGAAGCTCCCATTAGATTTGCCTTAGAAGCTGCTAGAAATGCGCACCAGGACTGCTCTTGCTTTGCAGACAGATCCCAACCCCACTCACCCCAACCTCATGGTTACCACAACCCCAACAGAGTGAACGCCATCAGCCACGCTCCCATCAGAGCTCTGTGTTTCCACATGCTCACCCATCCCACTACTGGTGCCCACCCTCCTAGAAGCAAACACAATGACACCAGGACTCTTGTTTAGACCCCCAAACACAGAAGCAAACATCTTTCATTGCTGACAACCACCCGTTCAGCCTTCCTTTCTCCTTCAGGCTGCGAAGTGGCGGTGGCAGAGCAGTAGCCCCAGCAAACCAGAAGTCTATTAGCTCGGGGAACAGTGCTGGTGGCTGGCGATAACCACGCAGCACTATGATAACTCCAGCAGCTCACTCTGCTCGCCGTTCCACGCCCCAAAAAACAGAACGTGGGAAAGCTGCCCTTCTCCGAGAGCTTAAAGCAGCCATATTCCTCCTCACCCTAATTTTTCAGATACCTCTCCCCTCCCCCCCCAAAGCCACATGCTTACCATGACACAGAGGCTGGCAGCCACCAGCTGGCACTTGGTGATCCTCATCCCGTGCCTCAGCCCCACGGCCCTGTCCCTGTGGGGCTGCCCGTTGGTCACCCCAGCTCCTGATAAGGCACCAGAGGAGGCACAGCCACAGTGGGGCCTCTCAGGAAGTGCAGTTCCTCCTCCTCCTCCTGCCTTGCGTTAACTCCTGCCCCAAGCAACAGGCTCCTCACAGTGTTTTGGAAACTTTTCAAGCAAGAGCCAGCGTCAAAATACCCAGTTTTCTCCCCATACACGCACATACATTGTCCCTCCCTCCTTTCTCCTCACCCTGATCCCCTCCCACCGTGAATCCACAGCTGTGAGAGGGGACTATGAGAATGGCTGTGAGCCAGTGCTTAGCTCTGAATGGGGGCTATTGAGCTGGTGGGAGGTGAGGTGGGCTTGAGATGCTGCTTCTCCCAGCCCTTGGTGCTTGGGGTGCTCACGGGGTTAGGTTGGCCATGGAGTTGAGTGGCTGTGGTGGGTTGGAGTGGCCAATGGGGTTGGGGTGGCCCATGCAGGTGAGTGGCCATGGTGTTGGGGTGGCCATGGGAGTTGAGTGGCCAAAGATGTCGGGGTGGCCAGTGGGGTTGTTGAGATGGCCCATGAGATTGAGTGGCCATGGGGTTGAGGTAGCCATGGGAGTTGGGTGACCATAGGGTTGGAGTGGGAAATGCAGACCTGGGGAGGACAGTGCCAGGTCCAGGGATGCTTTCTGCATGGGTTTGTGCTTCAGAGCCTGCAGGGTGCATCTTTCCTGATGTTAAAATGGTAAAAGTCTTTAGAAAAAATTGGCTAAAGGATGACTTGGTGCCTGATACCTTAACCATCTGCAGCTTCAGAGTCAGGGTGAAGCAGAGCAGTGGGAAATAGTCGCAGCCCTCCCATATGTCAAAGAAAGGGAGCACATCAGCAGCTGCAATAAAACAGCAAATAAAGAACGAAGAGATGAGTGGGAAAAAGAAGGAATATGCATCTTGCAGAGCAGAGGTACGCAAAAGAAAGCGTGTTGCATAGGAAAAAGCGTGACACCGCTCTCTCCTCACTACCCCCTTACAAAGCCCCTCCGGTGCAGGCTCCGGAGGTGTCGCCAGAGCGGCCGCAGCAAGAAGCCGAAGGAAGCCGAAAGTGTCGGCAGCGCGGGGCAGAGTTCCGCGCTAGGGGGCCCCAGAGTCCCGCACAACGTTCCGACGGTCGCCGCGGCGAGGGGTCCGCAGCGCCCCGTACACAAACGAGAGGAACCGAGGCGGGGGGGGGGGGGACAAAGCACGGCGGGGACCGCTGGGGAAAGCGGGCTGACGGCGATGCGGAGGGCCTTAGGGGGCTGCGCGCGCTG